CGAGTGTAATTTCCTCCGAAGTAAAAAAAAGGGAGGAGACAGGACAGAGAGATGAAAAAAAAAATTGTCGAAAACAATGAAGAGCCCGAGGGGGCATTATTGTCTCAGCCCTTCAACTTCTTTACCCTTCACTGTCGTTCCTCCCACACAAGTTCTTCCCCGCTGCATTCAAAGGACTTGGGGGAGGGAAATTGGAGAGAGGGCCAGCTAGAGTTTCGTTCGCCTTGTCTTTCGATAGTCAACAAAGGATTTTGTGATAAAAAAAACGAGCAACAATCATTGAGAATTGGAGGGAATGAAGCTAATTAAGTTGATCAGGTACAATTATAAAAGGAATTATTACAGGTACAACAAATTTCCCTGAAATTTCCGGTATGCGCGGAGAGAAATTTTTGATAAAAATTATCCAACCGTTCTTTACAAGTGTATCGTGAGTCATCGTTACCTCATTTCTATCCCGAAATTTAGTAAAAATTAATATATGATGATCAAATTTTATTCTACGCTAGAGAAATTTTATCCTGATAAAAATAAAAATTACCGTGCCGGTAGAGTAAAAATTACTGTACCGGTAGGGTAAAATTTACCAACTGTTCTAGAATTTTCGTTGTTATCTACATAAAAATTATTGGACTGGAAGGGTAAAATTTATTATGCGTCAGGATAAAATTTCTCTAACGTAGAATAAAATTTGATCATTATACATTAATTTTTACTAAATGTCGGAATAGAAATGAGGAAACGATGACTCACGATACACTTTTATAGAACGGTAAGATAATTTTTATCAAAAATTTCTCTCCGTGTGGGGTGAACAGGTCAATTGCTGGATGGTTAAGGGAAATTTAAGTTTAGTGGTAGGATCTCAAATAACGGAATCGCCTAAATGAGGATGTGATGGCTTCTACACTTTCAAGAATGTTTCAATTAGCAGAAAAAAACTATTTGAAGTGAAAATAATATAACAAAGAATAATTAAATTAAGAAATGGTTAAATGCAGCGGAAGTCCCTAATTTTTGGAGGACTGGGCCATTTTTTATTTATTTATTAAATATCGTTCAATGGAAAAAATAATTGATCACATGGTTGTACACGAGTAATATTATTGAAAGGTGAAATAATCAGGACAACTTTCATTTTATTTGTGGAATATTCAATGGAATCATTCAATGCAAGTTGAAATCGTCCAGAAACTAACCCCCGTCCAGAAATTGACCTGTTTACCCTACTTGGAAATACAATTTTTTCAAATTTTAGACATTTCTCTTAGGGTTTGAATAAATTTTTCGTTGAATTGAACCGCACGAATTCCAATCCTACGGGTATAAATCTGCTCAGAAGAGGCTACCCTAAAGATGCAACATTTTGCTGTATATAATACAAAGTGAATGTAACAATGCGTGAAAATTGTTGGAAATGTTGTAATTAAAAAATCGCAGATTGCACTGATTTGCATTGATTTCCTCATCATTTCGTGGCAAAATTAATTGAAATTTCAAATTCCAGTCCAAGTATTCATTAAAAAGGAGGAAAATGCACTCAAATATATTCTTCTATTTCAAAATTATTGGAAATACGCCTCATTTTGGTACTGAATATTCGCGTTCAATTGAAAATTGGAGTAAGTGGTCAAACATTAAGATTTAATTAATCCAAATCATATCATATATTTATGAGTTATCGGAGATTTAAGAAGGTCGATACTGTCCCATCCTCTTTCATCTCCTATTCTCCTTTATTCATCTATTAATCAAGTGAGACTTCATGAAACTCGAGATTGGCAAAGTGGATTACAAGGAATTCTGTGTCATTTTCTAGTTATTTTTATACACTTTTGCAAGAGATCAAATTCGTCCAACTCCCACCATTTGTTCATAGCATATTAACAACTGCAAAACGTCCATTTTCCTCTACCCAAGGGTTATAATCGAATTACCTGCCCTCGAACACTGGACAATTCACCCTTTTCCATCACCAGCCCAAAAAATAATGAAGACACGTAGCAATGCATGAACCTCCAAGACAACGACAACAACAACAACAACAACAACAGCGACTCAAGTTTAGTAGAGTGAATTCCAACGTATTCAGTGCCATTCTCAAGATATTTGCTTAAACTTTAAAAAGAGATTGAATTCATCCCAATCCAACATATTGAAAATTCATGAATATAGATTTTCCTCAGTCCTACGGTTACAATCACATTGCCTGCACGGAGAAAAAAGTTGGAGAAAAATTACCAAACAATCCAAGTAATCGTGGAGCAACCTCGATTTCCAGTACTTTTTCACCTTAAATAGGAGAAAACCTGCGAGATTAATAGTGAATTTTACTCCGTTGGCCCGGGAAAATTTACTAAACGTGAGGGTGATTTGTACCGAAACTGTAACATTTACCCTGCATCCCATCAAAAATTACCCCAGTGAACATGAATAATTGCTCCAATTTTTCGTATAATTTTTCTGTAACGGATAATCCCGTTTGGTAAAAATTCACTTCCGTTCGTCCCCATGACCTTCAGACGGGTACAAACAAACAATCCCCTGGCGGTATATGAAATTTTACTAAACAGGAAGATAATTTTTACATCCATAGATGTATTTTTTACCCAGAAAACCGTTGGATATCCACTAAAAACCAGTGTTTTTTCACTGAATTTTATTTTGCTCCACGATTACCATTCGTATAGTAAAATTAGTCACGATTTTCGAAGTAATTTTTATCCAGCTTTTCTCTCCGTGTGCGTTCAAACACTGGACAACTCACCCTCTTCCATCACCAGCACAAAAAAATAATAAGAACACGTAGCAATGCATGAACCCCCAAATCCCTCACGTTTTTTTCATGACGCGCCGTCTTCAGTTGATAACAACTCGATATTGGCAGAGTGGATTTCAAACAATTTGGTGTTATATTCCTAGATATTGTTCTAAACTTTGAGAAGTGATCGAATTGATTTCAATCAGTCCATTCATTCACGAAATATTCAAAACGCAAGAACATCCATTTTCCTCCACCCTTAGTTTATTATCGCACTGCCTACGTTCGAACACTGGACAACTCGCCCTCTCTCATCACCGAAACAAAAGAAAATAATAATGAGGACAGCAATGCATGAACCCCCAAGTCCCTCACGTTTTTTCTTCATGTGCCGTCTTCAATTGATAACAACTCAACATTGGCAGAGTGGATTTCGAACAATTTGGTGTTATATCCCTAGATATTTTTTTAAACTTTGAAAACCGAAATATTCAAAACTCAAAAACATCCATTTTCCTCCACCCTCAGTCTATTACCGCACTGCCTACGTTCGACCACTGGACAACTCGCCCTCTCTCATCACCGAAACAAAAGAAAATAATAATGAGGACAGCAATACATGAACCCCCAAGTCCCTCACGTTTTTCCTTAATGTGCCGTCTTCAATTGATAACAACTCGAGATTGGCAGAGTGGATTTCAAACAATTTGGTGTTATATTCCTAGATATTGTTCTAAACTTTGAAAAGTGATCGAATTGATTTCAATCAGTCCATTCATTCACGAAATATTCAAAACGCAAGAACATCCATTTTCCTCCACCCTCAGTCTATTACCGCACTGCCTACGTTCGAACACTGGACAACTCGCCCTCTCCCATCGCCGAAACAAAAGAAAATAATAATGAGGACAGCAATGCATGAACCCCCAAGTCCCTCACGTTTTTTCTTAATGTGCCGTCTTCAATTGATAACAACTCAACATTGGCAGAGTGGATTACAAACAATTTGGTGTTATATCCCTAGATATTTTTTTAAACTTTGAAAACCGAAATATTCAAAACTCAAGAACATCCATTTTCCTCCACCCTCAGTCTATTACCGCACTGCCTACGTTCGAACACTGGACAACTCGCCCTCTCCCATCACCGAAAAAAAGAAAAAATAATGAGGACACGTAGCAATGCATGAATCCCCAAGTCCCTCTTTCACCCCCATCGATGCCAGTACACACGTTGAGCCGCTGAGATAAGGGTTGGACAGGTTCGAGGATGCAAAGAGACAGAGAAAAGGAGAAACTCAGAAAAATAAGAGAGACGACGAGTGAGAACTGGGTGAGAGAGAAAAATGTTAAAAGAGGGATGAAGCGGGGGGAAGGGGGATGATTGCATATAGGCGGCAAGCCAGAGGCAGCAGCGTGGCAGGCGGCATGGCGATGGCGTCGCTTACGTCGAGGTCGCGCCTGCGTTCTCATCAAAACACCGCGTGACCACGATCAATACTGCGTGGCTGTTGTGCTCACGTAGATAAAAGAGGGGCAGAGGGACGGCCGTCAGAGGGATTTCGATGATAGGGGAGAAGGGGTGTACGAACTATAGGGGAGTCACTGGTGTACAAACTCACTGTCTCTCTCTCCCTCTCTTTCTCACTCTCTCTCTCTCTCTCTCTCGCTCTCTCTCTCTATCGCCCCTCTGAAGGATGTTGAATTCGAAAAGTGTTATTCCGCGCGTCTATCTCTGAATGATATGGAAGGGAACGCCTCACCACGTGGACACCACGTGTGCGCAACATCTCGTTTTCACTTTTCCATTTTTGCATTCGTATTTGTTCTCATCATTTGAATTTATCATTCGTCATTCGTGGAATTGATGCACCTCAGGATGATGCATTGGTGAAGGAGGCAGTGAGGAATGAGAAAGTGAGCATTGAGAAAGGTCGTGGACTCTCCATCGCGTACATCAATTTTTTTCCCCCTCGACATCAGTGCGGCGCATGGGATTTTTCGGGTGCGAGACACGTGGCATTTTCATTTCGAATTGAATTCTCAAGAAATTTTCAATGACGAGTGAAAAAAAGGGTCGTCTAGTACGGGTGGCTGGATGGAAATAGTTGATGAAAGAAAAAAAAAACGAGGGTTGCTGTGTTTACTGCTATCATAAGTATGTTGTACTGTCCACTGTGATTTGTTAATAAATAGGTGAAGGGTGAGTGAAAATGATAGATCGGAGTGTTTAAACTCACCTGCGATTCTCAATGCTGACATTCTTTGGAATTCCGGTTCCTGTAACCACTTCCACATACGTCTAAATGTTTCACGTCCACTTTTAAGCTTGGACCAGGGCTTTGGATTCCTGAGTAAATCGCTGAGTGTACCCTGGCTACGACACAGTACCCGCTGTGCAAATATAGCCTGTGGTATACTGTATCTCTTCAACTCAGCACTGATTCTCTGAGCCAATTCCTTGGTATTAATTTCCTCAACTTCACCAGCACCATTTCCCGCCGATGACATTGTTTTCATAACAACCGATGTATGCTGTACATGTTGTGTATGGGATATCGTTTGCTGTTGTTGTCCTATCGTTTGTTGTTGCTGTTGATTCTGCTGCGATTGTTGTGATTGTTGTTGCAATTGTGTTTGCATTGGTGGTGGCGATGCAGCTGGTACTGATAACGTTGGTGGTGAATGATGGGAAGGCGCGAAACTCGTCGCCGCGGAAACAGGTGGCGATGGTGGACTAAGTGCAGCAGGACTCTGCTGTAATCTCGGTAAAAATGCTGGCTCATAATGTGGACTAGCTGATTTATGAGGTGAATTTAAACCACTCTGGCTGTATGCACTTTGTGGTGATAATGGACTTGGTTGTAAACCAGCACCAGGTGATGGATAATTGTGCGGTGGTGACATACCCATTGGTGGTAATTTATCATACGTATACGGTGAATTACCAATACCAATACCCATATTACCAAGTCCATTGTTCTGCATAACTGCAAAACTACCAGATACACCGCCAGTTGTGTGACCAGCGTAAACAAATTTATCACTCATCGTTGATATTGGTGGTAATGGCTGTAGTGGTGTTAATGTCGCGTAAGATGAGCCAGGTGAAAAGCCTGGCGGTGACATTCTCTCGGCTACTGATGTCAATGTCTGATAAGTTGGCTCTGGTTGCATCGACCTGAAGTCCGTAGCGTCGATCATACTAGCAACTGACACACTTATACCTGATGTTGGTGATAATTTACCGGGACTCAATAATTCAGAGTCAGCGTCCCTTGAGTCAACGTCAACGTCCTGCGGTGGTACAATCACCGACAGTGACTCCCTAGCGCTTGTTCTATCCGTATGTTCCTGGGATGGTGACAGATCCTCCGCGGCGGCGAGGTCTCGCTCCTCCTTAACGCCAAGCGCCCCAGCAGCGAGCAGTTCCAACGGTAGGCTCGCGCACGCGATATCGGGACTTTGTGAGTCTGACGATGACATACCCTCACCACCCTGCTGCTGGTGCTGCTGCTGATGTTGTCCCCCACTATGCTCTCTATCTTCTCCTCCTGCGCCGTTACCACCCGCTCTGTTATTGCCCTCGTGGTGGTGATGGTGGTGGTGGTGGTGGTGGTGTTGGTGATGGTGGTGCTGATTATGCCTGCCACTACGTACAACATCTCCCCTACCACTGCTCTTTCCACCCCCACTGTGAGTGTTAACATTTGAGCCGCCCCCACGGCCATGCGTACTCACCGCCGTTGGGGAATCGACCGCATCCAACAATTGCTCGCTATGCGACCGATGATGATCGGCTATGTCCCCTATACCTTCCATTTACGCACATCTAGTTTGGTGGTATTTTCTTTATTTTCCCTTGCTGTTTTCTTTTTTATCACTACTTTTTCTCCTTTACGTCCCCCTCGATCTCAATCGTATTTATCAACTCAAATTCATCGATATTTCCATTAATTTCTTCTTAAAGTCAGTGTCCTTTTATCACCGTGGCGCTGTTATCAGGCAGCCGCGCGCGCCGCTGCTCAAACCGCCCGTTGTTTCGAAACAACAGCAACCCCCCCGGCGTCCTAACCTCGGCACATACAAACACGTTTCATTAGTTTGTCTTTTAACCACTCGTTTAATCCCCCCCAAATCCCTCTGAACTCGCGACAACCCAGCGACACGTCTTTATCCTTCCTCCCGTGAAAACTCACTGATCAGTCTGACTCACCAGAGTATTCCTCACGCAGCAGACCAACTACCGAAAATCACTTATCACAATAACAAAAACACCACCGGTACTATCTCTCTCCTCTGTCAACAGATACAACCGAAAACACTGACACCACAGCCCGCATAACCCAAAACGTCAACAAAACAGATACTCTCGTGCCCGGTAATTTACCACTGAATCATCCCACTGATTACGTATTAATTCGACATTACCCCGGATCCTCGATTCGATCCTTCTGCACGAGAGTGGCATCCAACGTGCGCCCATGACATACGCGAAGCGAGTGAGACGACACACGCACACACACACCGTTGTTTTTTTTTTTTTCACCTCTTCTGCCCTCTCTCTCTCGCGACCCCTCTCAATTTCACGTGTGTTCAACGTTTTGCTTCGGTAAGAAAGAGAGAGAGAGAGAGAGAGTACTTAGAGGGGCGGCTTAGCACCAAGCCAGTAGCACACAGCAGTTACGACACCGGTGAGCCCCCAAGAACCGGACCGTCTCGTCTACTTCCCCTAGCGTTTTCTCACTCTACCCCCCTTTAACAGAAGCGTCCCCACCAGTTTTGCCCGTGAAACACCTCCTTCCCTGGGCTTTTGCACCCCTACAACCGACGTCTGACGCGTGCGGCTGGTCCAGGTGTTCCAAGAATTACCGGCCCACCTTTTCTATTTCTTTATTCCCAGTATTTCACTGAGATGGGACCTACCCTTTCGCAATTTCACTCTCAACATTTCATTTTGTAATGTCGGTTATTTTCGGATGCGCTTTGTGTTTTGTTACCAGGCAGGGGTGACGCGGTATCTCTCATGCGGTAATTATCATTCGTTGAAGGTTACGAGGTTTGGAAAGATCCGCCGAAAATCCTGGAAGCTCTCCCCACTAATCGTCCAACCCCCCTCCAACCGACGCCAGTCAGGTTTCTATCGATTTTCCGATACCTCGTGACCGCTGTAGCTCGATGCGCCGATATTCCCAGAGTATAAACACGGATCCTATAGCACCTGTGTTACCTCAACACTTGGGTTTAATAGTTTAATAATCAATGAGTTATTCAGGAGGTAATTGTTCGCTCAGAATTTTAGTTGTACAACTCAATCAGCTTCTGTTGAGCCCCCGTCGCGATGCAATTGATCAGGCGAGACGATCGCACGTCGTAATGGTCGAGCGCTGCGGAATCCGACGTCAATGAAGAATCAATGGCGACTCTGGGTGCCCACATCGGCCATTGCGACTTAACGGCGCCTCCAGTGCGTCCCGAGGACGAGGGTTTGTTTTCCTGACGTCATGCTTCAACTGTCATGGCGCGGCTTCGATTAAAAATCATCAGATTCCCTTCGAAATCACGATGTGGATTGCAATTCGGAACCGACGCCGATGAGGGAATATCTCCGTCGATGGGAATCAAACTGAAGTCAATAAAGAAATCAATGGCAGACCACTGGCGCCCACAGCCCTCACTTCAGTTGCCCCTCGGTAATATCCCCAACTACAGTCTCACACACGTATCCCTCTTGGATAATCACACTCGCTAATCGATAACCAACGATTATCACTCGATATATTCGACGCTAGTTCGACCGTTCCATCAGCATCGCGGGAAAAGAGACTTTTTGTCTGCCGCCAGGGTCTTACCTTAACTCACGTATCTGCACGCGCGACGCTTCAATCCTCCCCCCCGACCCCTTTTCCTCCTTCTGCAGTCCCCTAACCCGGCGTTTCTCTTCTTCTCTTTGTGTGTGTGTGTGTGTTTGTCATACGTGTGGCAACATTGGGGGTTCTGTCTCCTTCACACTCGTGGATATTTTCCCTGAGAACGCTTTGTCTGCGTGCGTTGCCGATGTATCCGACGAGCGCACGCGCTTCAGTTTCGAAGTTTCACACGGGGAGTTCTTCTCCGGTAATTTTTCAGGGTTTTTTTTT